GCGTCCAGGAGCGGTCTCACACGTGGACTGGCTCGTAGGCACTGAGGGTCACAGACTCACCCATGAGGGGTCTCACGCAGTCCTTGGCAGAGGGGCCTTCTGGGGGCGGGGAGACTCACCTATGGCAGGCAGGATGTGGTCCAGGTTGAGCCGAGCCTTCAGGAAGGGGTAGGCCAAGATGAGGAGCCCTGCGGAGAGACACACGGGGTTTCTGTGGTGGAGGGGGGCCTAGTGTGAGGTGCGTGAGGCTGGGGCTGGGCTGGGAGCCTGTGGGTGGTTTATGGCGGTGATGTGGGTGTATGTGGGTGCTCTGCGGGAGGAGCACAAGTGTGCAGGATTGGGACTGTGGGTGTGTAAACATGAGCCCATGAGTGTGTGCATGGGGTGGGTGCCCAACACCCAGCCAAGAATGGGGGCTGCCTATCTAGGGGAAGGGAGACAGACTGAGACCCCGGGCTCCTGGCTTCACCGGCTGCGTAAAGAGCAGGTGGGCTTCCTTCCTTCTCCGCTGGCTGAAGAGGGCCTGGCTGACAGGGGCACACCAACTCCCCCGGACCAGACTGAGGCCCCTCAGCGTGCTCCCCCCTCCCAGGCTCTGCCTGCCACGCTCAGGTGGAGAGTCCGTGCAGGGTTCGCGGGTACTGATGCCCGGAGCCCCTCAGCCTGGTGCTGTGGTTCTGCTTTGGCTCAGGGAGGTGGGTAGGTGAGGGATGGCACTACAGGATATCAGGGTCTGGCCCCGACAGACAGATGGACAGAGCTGGGCTGAGACAGACAGGGAAAGGACAGGCGTGTCCTTGTCTGAGCTGGGGCCTGTTCTCTTCATCTGGACCCACCCCATCCCAGACAGGCTGCTGGGTCCCACCTCCAACCTGAGCCCAGGGCTTGGGGCTGGAGGGCCTAAGGGAGCAGAGGAGAGGGGTGCCACCTGCTCCCCTCCAGTCTCCTCCCCCACCCCGCCTCTCCCTCCTCAGGGCTGGCTAGATCCTCCGTCTCCCCACCAGTTCCCTCCAGCCCAGCCCTTCCCTCCATTTCTGTGGGTCTGTCTTTTCCACTCCCTGCAGAGCCTCCTACCCTGCCCCCGCCTGGCCCCTGCTCACCCAGCCCAGCAGCTCCGATGAAGATGCCGCCCACGGCCGCTGCAGCCTTGGACAGTGAGACGCCGATGATGATGCTGCCGGCCACCAGGCTGAGGGCTGCACAGGCCAGCTGCAGACAGCGGAAGTCCCTGCTGCTGATGGGGACGTCCATGCGGGCCTGCCTCAGCCACGGGAGGTCTCTGTCCTCTGGGATGTCCCTGGCTGGGAGTTTCTGGGCAGTAAGACTCTGGGCTGGGACCGCTGGATTTAAGAGCAGCGCTACCCTACAGCCCTTTTGGGCTGTTCAGCCCCAGCCTGACCTGGGTGCTCTACCAGGCCAGCTCCAATTACTCTACCCCAATAAAGGCCTCTGAGGCTGGAGGCCGCTCTTGGGTCTCCTGCTCGGCCCGTTTCTGCGTTGGCTGCCAGGGTTCTAGGGTGTGGGGCTTGCCCAATGGGCCCCTCCCCTGCCAGCCTCCACCTGGAAGAGCGCAGCCTGGGCTTCCCTGCCTGGGACATCCTGCCCCCAGCTCCCTGGAGCCTGCTCAATTGCCAATGAGTCTCGGCTTATTAAAGTTTAAAGCAACGAGAGCCCGAGGGTGCTGCGCGGTTGGTCAGGGAGCGGGTTCTCAGGAGGTGCTGAGTTATTCATGAGGTCGCAATGTGAGCTGCTGCCAGGTCCCCCAGTCCCTCTGGGGTAGTCAGCCCGGGCTCTACTGTTGGTTCCTGAGCCGGTGGCTTCACACGTGGTTCAGAAACCAGGGATGTGAGGGTCCTGGTCACATGCCCAGGGCCTACTCTGCGGACCTCTGCCCTTTGTCCTGGAGGTGCACTTGGGGCCTCTGCTTGGAGACTCAGAGCTGGAGACCTGGACAAGGCTCAGGAGACACGGATAGCCACTGGGACAGGAAGAGGAGGAGAGAGACCCTGTCCACCCCTCCCCTCCCTGCTCCCCCATTCTGACAACCTCAGAGTTCCCAGGCAGGGCTGAGGAGTCCTGGTCTGAGATGTGATCCTAGGGAAACCCCTTTCCTCAGGTGGGCTTGGTACCCACCACCCTTTTAACTGCCAGTGGGACAAGAGGCTGAGCCTTTGCAGCTGCCCTGTGAGTCCTGGCTGGGAGCTGACCAGGTCCCCCAGTCCCTCTGGGGTAGTCAGCCCGGGCTCTACTGTTGGTTCCTGAGCCGGTGGCTTCACACGTGGTTCAGAAACCAGGGATGTGAGGGTCCTGGTCACATGCCCAGGGCCTACTCTGCGGACCTCTGCCCTTTGTCCTGGAGGTGCACTTGGGGCCTCTGCTTGGAGACTCAGAGCTGGAGACCTGGACAAGGCTCAGGAGACACGGATAGCCACTGGGACAGGAAGAGGAGGAGAGAGACCCTGTCCACCCCTCCCCTCCCTGCTCCCCCATTCTGACAACCTCAGAGTTCCCAGGCAGGGCTGAGGAGTCCTGGTCTGAGATGTGATCCTAGGGAAACCCCTTTCCTCAGGTGGGCTTGGTACCCACCACCCTTTTAACTGCCAGTGGGACAAGAGGCTGAGCCTTTGCAGCTGCCCTGTGAGTCCTGGCTGGGAGCTGACCTTCTCTGCCAGTGGTGGTAGGCGTGGGGTAGGCAGGAGACACATAAGGTGTAGGGGTTTACAAGAGGAATTGGCAGGGGTTGGGTATCTGGGGCCCGGACCAGGAAGCCGGGACATGTTGGTGTCTTCTGAACTCTGGCGCTTCTGCATAACCCCACTGGCAGAGGGAGAATCCATGTTCCAAGGAATGAGTTGAGCCTTGCATCTGTCCCTCATGACAGGAGACAACTGTGGGGCTTCTGAGCCCATTGCCTTTCTGACCTACTTGCAGAATCCACCAACCCAGCCTCGTCCAGAGCCCTGGCCTGGGTCTCTGGTCTCAGCCTTCGTCACTGCATGAGTCAGGAAGCCGGGTCTCAGGTGAGACTCCATCCCAATCCCATAATATGGTCCTGGCCCCAAACTGGGTACAGTACCCCCCGCTCCAAGTCCTCTCACGGACCCCACTGACCCCTCCTCCACCTCGCCTGCAGTCTCACACAGCCAGGTTCCAGGACTCCTGCCTCCACCTGCCTCCACCTGCCTCCATAGCTGCTCCTGCTCCAGCCCTCGCCTCCTCTCCTGCTCTCCCTGCTCTGAGTGTTTGCTCAGCCCCTGCTGTCTGGAGAACTCTCCTCCTCTAGCAGGCCCCTGCTTGGTGAGCCCCAGCTGTGGAGCCCTTCCTGACCACGCCTGTTCCCCCTTCTGCTCCTGTGGCCCCAGGCCTGAGTGGCCACTACCTGCCCTTGTTCTCTGACTTCTCACTCCTTGAGCTCTAAGGGCAGGCTCAGGGAGTGAACTCCACTGTATGCTGTAGCTGGAGGAGGCTTGGGCCAGGCTCCTAGACTTGAGGACCACAGAGCTCAGGAAGAGGCTGGGACCTGCCCAATCCCCTGGGGCCAGTGAAGAGGAGTGCAAGGGGGAGGGGACCTCCATCTCTCTTTCCTTGGGTATGGTGGTGGCCTAAGAAGGTCCCAGGGTGGCCTGAGCAGAGCTTCAACTGAGGGAAGACCCTGCAGGGAAGCTGGAGCGGAGCCTGGGTGAAGCCTGGCCTCTAGAGAGGAGGGGTGACTGCAGAGGATGGAAAGGCCCCCTCAGCCAGCCATAACCCTGGCTTCATGCAGGGGACGCCCCTGGAGCCAGGCACTCCCCAGCTACCCCCTCCACTGCCGCCATCCCCTGTGCCTCCTGCCAGGACGAGGTCTGATTATTCCTCTAATTAGGCATCAAATGATATCCCATGTCTCTGTCACACATAATTGATCCCCTGCTGGCTAGGAGGAGATGCCAAAATAATCGTCTATGAAAACATGTTCCTGAGAGGTTGAGTTTGGGGAGTCCGAACACTGCCAGCACGCCCCAGCCCCCATGCCCTGGTGTGTGTTTGCTAACTCTGAATCGGTGGGACCCAGCTGGGGCCGAGGGCGGCTCTCCCACACCACCAGAAGACAGCACTCCTGGGCCGCGTTGCCCTCCTCGCCTGCCTTGGTGACGCTCCACCCACCCTCCTCCCTGAGCCCTGGGCCCGCATCTGGTGAGCGGAGATGGGGGTGGCAGAGGCTGGAGCCTGGGACGCCTCTGCCTGTGAGTTTCAGATTCCAGAAAACATCCTGACCTTCTAAAACTGGAGACCGAATTCTACATTAAATAGTTTTCCCCATGACATTGTAACCCCTCAGGGCATAGGAGGCATGGGGGTGGGGAGAGGAAATGAGAGGAGACGCATCCAGCTACGATCATCCAAATATGAGACCAGCGACCACAGCGCCAACCTGCTCCTATGGAACAGACGGGAAGACGTGCGGGGAGGTAGCAGGACTGCCCCAGTCCCGAGGGGACCGCACGCCCAGGTGGCCCGGTCAGCTGGGGGATCCTCTACATTGTCTTTGAGGTGGAAGGAATTGGCCATCCCACTGGCAGAGGGAGACTCCCTGTTCCAAGGGTCGAGTTGAGCCCTGCATCCGTCCCTCATGACAGGAGACAGCTGAGGGGCTTCTGAGCCCGTTGCGCTGCCCGTGGTCCCTCGGGTACGGGCTCTATCATTGGGAGGAGCACTCGTGTGTCCCTGGGCAGTGTCTGTGGTGATGCCGAGATGGAAGCCTAAGGGACCAGAGCCCCACCACGGCTCCCACCTCCACTCCCCGCTCCTCGCAAGCATCGTGGGTTCCCAGCAGTTTGGGTTTCCCGGAGGCCACAGGACGGAGGTGTGGCCAGGCCATGGCCCCTTGCAGAGTTCCATCAGAGTCTCCTCTTTGTCTCTGGTGAGGCCAGGGCTGGAGGCTCTGCCTCTGCTCTCTCCTTCCCAGAAGCACTGGGTCCAAGTGTGGTGTGGGGGTGGGCAGGGGAGTGGGTGAAGGCCCCAGCTTGGTTTGGTTGTTTATTTTCCTTGAGGGGAGAGAGCTCTGGAAAAGAGTGTGATTAATTCCCGGATCCCCCGGGGGACAGGGAGCTTTCTTGGACCATTTGGAAGCTGAAGTCAGAGAAGCGGCTTCCAAGGCAACTGCTGCCATGGAAACACAAGTGCCAGCCTTGGGGGGACCTTGCTGGTTGGCCCCCACCCCCAGACCTGCAGCAGCTGGAGCAGCTGGCATGGGACTATGGCACTGCTGTTTGTGGAAAGGTCTGTGAGGGGCGGTGGGCCAACAGAAAGGGGGGCTCCAGAGCTCAGGTGGGGGAACACACAGAGGGGCAGAGGAAGACCTGAGGACCCCTGTGCCCAGAAGCCCAGACAAGAGTCCTCAGGACTGACTGAACCAGGCTGGGCTGAGGCCTAGGCCTACTGCTCACTGATTTGAGGGGAGGCCTGAAATCTGACGGCCCAGCTGGCTGGGAGCAGCTCTCACCTTCCACGGCCCAGCCTAAACACAGGCCCTAGAGGTGGGGAACTGGTTTCCACATTGCAGGTCCCATGCCTGGAAGGAGCTTTGCGGTCCCAGGGCTTTCCTCAGTGCACTGCAGAGCCAGGCCTTCCCAAGGTCATGCAGTGATCTGTGGCAGGTACAGGACTAGAACCCAGGACCTCTGACTCCCAACCTCACACTCTTCTGCAACACTACAGCTGTCCCCTTCTGGGACAAGGACTACAGCCCAGATGGGCAAAGCAGCCTGTCCACAAGAGGATACCTGGGGGGCCCAGAGGCCTGGCTCATCTCAAAAGCCCCAGATCCACCTCTGCACCACACAAGCCCTTGTGCAGAGGGCTCCTTGTGCCAAAGAAAGGGGCAACCCTCATCTCCAACCGGGACCACCAGGTGAGTCACTCTGCCCTAGGAGACGACAATAAATAGACGGCCGCGGTGCTCTGGCACACTCAAGTGCTTGCACCGCTCCAACGGCATTTCTCCCTTCGTAACTTACACAACAGGACCGTGATGTGAGCACCATCATGGCCACTTACAGTTGAAGAATCTGAGACCCTCTGAGATTAAGGAGCTTGCCCAGGGCCAAAGCTAGTAAGTGGCAGAGCTGGGGGTTGACCTGGGCAGCACCGTTCTGGGTCCCCAGCCTCCTTGGAAGGAATTCCAGTTCCACCATTGCTAGTTGTACAGCCCCAGGCAAGCTGTTTTTCCTTCATCTGCTTGGCTTTTCATGGTAAGTGGGGTAAATAATAGCACCTATCTCTAGAGCTGTGTGAGAACTAAATGATAACGCCGGTGAACATCTTAGAAAGCCCTTGTTAACTTGTCAGTACACAACGACGCTAACAAAACCAAGTGGGCACAGAGCCCCCAGGATGAGAGGGACCTTGGCGGGGAGGTGGGCAAGAGAGGGCACAGCTTGAGCAAAGGCACACCTCCCTCCCCCAGGGTCTTGGTGGAGCTGCAGCGGGGCAGGGTGCGGCCAGGGTGCTTGATCAGGGAAGCCCCTTAGAGGCACATTCCTGTTGGGCCAATGTGGAGGGGACTGGCCAGGCAGGGGCTGGCAGCAGACAGAAGTCACAGCCTGAGGCTGGGGGTTTAGTACCAAAAGGCTTGGGTTTTTCTAGCTGACCCCACTGCAGGTAGATGAAGAAGGGGTGAGAGGCTGGCTAGGGTTACTACAAAGGGCAGGCTGTCAGCAAAGTGTGTCCTCTTCAATATGGACACACTGACGCTAAGACAGCTGGTAGCCCGGCCCTTACCTGCCCCAAGTGAAGAGTCCCGCCCCTCTCTCCCCTCTCTGCTCTCCCAAGGGAAACAGGCTGTCATCGGCACCCAGTCTATTCCTCTGACCCTCCGTGGGAACGGACAGGTCCTTCCCACAGGCCCTCTCCAGCCTGGCCTGGGGCGTTCGCGGGACAATGTACGCGAGGGCTGGCACCTTCTTTGTAGTCAACTTTGTAGCTCTGGGTACACAACAGCCCCCCACAAAAGTTCAGCAATGCTTTAGACAGAGGGAAACTTCGTTCCTGCCTGCGGTGGCTGGGCCGGTGGAGCACAGGGACATCTATTAAACCACTTCTGAAGTGGCTGACACGCTTCTAACACCTGACGGGGAGCTCCTACAAAGCGCGGGCTGTTTCTGACTCCTCCCTGGGTCCTGGCCTAGAAGTTGGATGAATTTCACTTCCTTGCCTAAAAGGATGAGCAACGTCTCCTCTGCTTTGTTTTGCAGGTCCTGAAAGGGGCACCCTCTCCCGACCTGGCTGGACTCGGGCCCCGCAAGAAGACCTATCTCCTCAAGTTGGCAGGTGAAGAGAGGACCACCAGTAGGCCACAGCTATGACTGAAAACAGTTTTATTAAAATAAGCGCATCGTATAACAGCATGGTTGTATTGTATAAATGTCCGCCTGACATCTGCAAATCCATTCTCTCCACGTAACTCAGTCGCTCGGCTTCTGCGGCAATGGCCAGACCGCACTGCTCGGACCAGGGCAGCTGCGCTCTCTCCGATCTGGCTTCAACGCAGGCAGGGAGCTCCAGTGAACTGTCCCAGCTCTGTGCCACCCTCCATATCAGACTTGAGCGACACAGCAGCAGCAGAGCCATGGAGACTGTCTCTAAGATTGTTCATTATAGTAACAGCTTAAAAACCAGTTAGAATGAGAGGGAATAGCTGATTAAAATGCAAACGCAGGACACCTGGAAAGAGCGAGCCAGCCCAGCTGGTAGGTGCTCCAGGATGTCCGTGGGCCTGCAGTGAGCTTTACCATCCCCTAGCTGGAAAAGCATGATTAAAAAACAAACATTTTAAAACAAAACACTGACTTTAGCAGCAATCACAAACAAGGAAGAGGGTGATAAATGAAGGACACAGCTCGGTCACGGCAAGGAAAGATTATGTGCTTCTCTGTGCTATCGACTGGAAGGCAGATCTGGCTCCTGAATGAGGAGCGCTCCCTGCCCTCTCCTGAATTGAGGGGACAGCTTTGCTTAGCCAAGGGAGAGGACATCCAGAGGACAGAGGGAGGTGGAGACCGACAGAGGAGGGTGACAGTGCAGAGAGGGAAGAGGCACGTGTTGGCAGCCTCTGTCAGCTGACACTTCTCAAAGCAGGCTCCCTGGAGGAGGAGGCAGCAGCGGTGCTGGCTGATCGTGGATCTGCAGGCGGTGAGCAGGTGGAGCCCAGCAAAGAGATGTCCCTGCCGCAGGCGATTATGCAAAGTGACAAGTGACTGCTTTCCTTTGCAAAGACAACCCCTTTGGAAAAAAGCTTTTTCCTCAAGGACCTTGGGGAAATGGGGGTTGGGTGAGAACCTCAGGGCCTTTGTAGATGAAAAGTCCTGACTGGAGCACAATTGGGGGGGTCCCATTGCAAGTTTCCAGGGGCATGGCCTGGTCAGGCCTAGGGCCTACAGGGTGTGACTGGAGCAGCTCAGAGGCCTGTGGGTGTCAGTCCCGTGTCTTCCGTGTCTTCGCTGCGGCTGGCCTGGGCCAGGGCCCGCCGGCGGGCCAGGCGTGACTTGGAGGGAGGGGAGAGCTTCACAGAGCAGAGACCTTCAGCCAGTGCCTCCGGCTCGCAGCCCAGTTCGTTCTCCTCGTGCTGGGACAGCTGGCGGTTAAGTGCGATGGCCTCGGCTGCAAAGAGCGTCAGGTCCATTGTGCTGCTGTTCCTGCGGGGCCAGGGAAAGGCACAGAAAAGGTGGCAGCTGGGGTCAGCCAGGCCAGCTCCTGGATCCTCCTGAGTCAGCCTGGGCTGCTCGCTCCAGAGGAGTTCTTGCTGGGCTTTGGAATCTTGCTTGACTAAGGCCAGAACGACCTTTGAGCCCCTGGTGTGGCCCCGATTTGCCAGGTAGGGCAAATCCTCCCTCCCCCATTCTATTCTAAGCACTTTACCCTGAGCCGCAGGGAGCTCCCAGAGCAGGGCTGTGCAGCTTACAACTACAACGTGTCCCCAGAACCCAGCTCAGGGCTAGTGGGCACTGCACTTTGGGTTGCTGAGTAAGTCTTCTAAAGGGGACCTGAGGTTTGAAGTCTCAAGACAACTGGAGGCAGCTCTAGAGAATCAGATTGGAGTCATGCTGGCCAACAGCATTCTGGGTAGAACAAACTGACCCTCTGGAGATGGAAGACTTCCCTGTGTAACTGCTGGGAAGCCGCCAGGATGCTAGTTCCCTAACGGGTTTCCCACAATGCAGAGCCCCCTTACTCCCTTCCTGGAATAGGGCAATGCTCATTAGGAACTTATTAAAAGGTTCCAGACTCAGGGCTGCCTCTGTGGTGCAGCAGTCATGTGCTGTTTGGTAGGAGCTGGATTCCACGTGGCAACCTTGGTTCGAATCCCTGCCATGAAGGTGAATGCCCAGGATCCAACAAGCTGGAGGGCTGGAGGGCTGGAGGGCTGGAGGGGAGGTTACTTGGTGTGCCTGGGCCTGTGGTCCAAACTCTCTCAACTGGTTTCTCTCGCTCATGTGCACATGTGTGCTCTATCATTGGAAATAAAGAAGAAAAACAGCAGGCTCAAGAGTCAAATAGCCTGGGGCCACTGTGACCTCGAGCTAGCTACCTCGATCTTTCTATCCTGTTTTCTCATCTATAAAATGCTGGTCTTTTAACCTGTGGGTGTAACACACGGATAGGGATATAATATAGTAAAGCCCTGAGTGCCACGTCTGACATGTATCCAATACACAGCGGCCATCATCTAATGCTGGTCTAGCGATGCACGTGAAGATGGTCTCCCTCCCTCACAGGGCCCGGACTCCTGCCACCTTCATGACTTAGAGCCGGGGGACTCCAGACTCAGAGCGGGTGGACACTATGGTGTGAATAACCCTGATGGGGAAGGCCTGGCTTTGGGCTGTAAATGCTGACTGCCAGTTAGGATTCTAGTGCCTATGCAAAACAGGCTGTGAGGGGCCTTAAAGGTGCTGGAGGGCAGAGGGAGCAATCTAGGTGGAGGAAAAGAGAGAGAGAGATAGATGCGGAGTAAAGGGGGAAGGCTGTGAGAAGAATAGGGAGAAGGGAGGCAGGGAGGCCCTCTGGGAGCTCCCTGCCCCCCACCTCCACTCCAGCAAGGCTGAGGGCTTGAGGGAAGATCAGGGCCAAGGAAAGATGGTGGCATGGGGTGCAGTGAAAGCATTTACCTCTGGAGGACTTGCGGCGTGGGAAGTCCCCTTTCTGGAGCTTGCTAGAATGGGAAGGACAGATGTGTGGGTAAGCGCTGTTCTCTCCTGAGACCTGCCCCCATCCAAGCCAGCACAGCGTGGTAGCTTACTACAGGGTCCTGGCCTAGCAGGGTCCTTGTGCCTGGCACATCCTAATTCTCCCCCAAGACCTAGCTCAAAGGTCACTTTCCCTGTGAAGCCTTCCCCCTTCCTGCCATGTCCCTACCCCAGCCCCAAGCAGAGGTGGGCTCTCCTCCCTTTGTGCTGCTAGCACGCTAAGCACTTACCACCTGCCCCTGTCCGTCAGAACGTAAAGACAGGGCCTTCTCATCCCTGCACTGCTAGTCTCCGGCATGTGGTTAGTGCTTATTCTTGGTGGCTGGGAATTAGCTACCTAGACACTCTAGGATTGGGTCCCCATCTGTCGCATAGCTGCTTGCCTTCATCCACTGGCAGGGTCACTGAGGACACCCAGCGCAGACTAGCAGACACAGTAAATCACAGGATGGTCTGGCAGACCCTCGAAGGGGCAGAGGTCAGGTATTGTGATAAAACCAAAACTGCTTTCTAGTGAAGACTCTCATCCTTAGCTTAGGGAAAACACTGCCACTTGTCCTCAGGCAGCTACAACAGACCTCCAGGCTGGAGGAGAACCTGCGTGCCTACTGCAGCCACAGTGAGCAGGGCAGCAGCCTGCTTGCTCCAGGGTGCTCTCAGCTGAGGTGTTTTCTTTCAGGGGATGGTACTGCAGGCCCCAAGGGATGACCACAGGCTGCTTTCTGGTGGGGTACCTCTGCCAATAGTGAATGGATTGCCAAATCCCCCAGAGGGCTCTGTTGGGGTTTAGTCTGTGGCAAGGTTAGAATCAGATCTATGGGCTGGGGCTAAGAGACAAGTCAATTCACTCCGCCCATACGGGATGGAAGTTGCGGCAGGACCCCCTCCAGCCAAGGTCAGCCACCTGGCCTAGTAGTCAGCTCTTGCTGGTGTGACAACTTCCCTGTGACCAGGCTACAGGCCTAGAGGAGTGGAGGTGAGGTTTCCCGGGAGTCACTCACCCCCTGCACCCACGGGTGCTGCAGAACTTGGGCGGCACTGAGTCTCTGTTTGGCGTCTCGAACCAGGAGCTTGGAGATGAGGTCTTTGGCCTCACTGGAGATGTGCGCCCAGTCCTTATCGGGAAACTCGTACTTGCCTTCCTGGATGCTCTCAAACAGCTTGTTCTAGGTGGAGGAGATTCCTCTGAGGCTACTGGCTGGGACAGGCAGGACACACCTGTCACTGATCTCACCGCCCTGGCTCCTGCTCAGCTGCTGTCACAGCTCAGTGTAGGCCCCTTTCCAGAGCCCCACTCTCCCTTAGTCATCAAACTATACTGAATGCCCTTGGCAGAACCAGGTGGCTGTTACTCGGATGGGATGGGATGGGATGGGTGATGAGTGGGGAGAATCACCCAGTTCCTTGGCCCTTCACAGAGGCCCTCCATGAACTGGCTCCTGGCAGCCTCTCAGGTCTTGTCCCCCATCACCATCCACTGTGGACTCTGCAGCTGTTCACACCTCCGCTTCTGCTTGTGCTGCTCCTGTGGTATTTCTCAACCTTTTCCCCTCAGCAAGGCACAGCCTTTAAGAGGCAACCTGGATGCAATCTTCTCTAACCATCGTCCTCTGAATCCTACTGGGTTGAGTGACTGATTATCTAACTCATGGCGGCCCTCTGACAGAGGACAGAAGGGCACAAACCCCTTCCAGCCCGGTCCTGCCTGCCATCCCACAACCACACAGATCCCACCCCCAACACACATCAGGGGCCCTGACGTGGGCCCGGAGGAGGAGCTCACCTGGCACACCCTGCAGACCTCTCCCCGGTCCCAGCCACAGTCAGCCCCGCAGTGACCTACGAAGGGGGGGTAGCCACTCAGCATGATGTACAGGACCACTCCCAGGCTCCACAGGTCACAGCGCTTGTCATAGAAGGTGGCCTCCTCCGTGAAGACCTCCACCACTTCGGGGGCCATGTACTCTGCAGAGCCGCACTGTGGGGGCCGGGGTTGGGAGGAGAGGATAGCAGAGAGAGAGCTTAGTCACAGGGGAGGGGCTGGCAAGAGCAGAATATAACTTGAGCAAGAGGACGGGCAGATGGAGTTACAGAGCAGGAAATCATTGGGAAAGCCAGCCAGAGGGCTCACCTGATACCCGAGGTACTCGAGAGGCTGGCCAACCGAGTGTTTGTAAACTGAGCCCTATCATTCCCCAGATGCACGTGGCCAGTTCCTAGTCACCTCCTGAGCTTTTCAGGTCCTTCTCCAGTAGGCAGAGCCCCTGGGCCAAGAAGCTTCGGGAATCTCTCCCTGCCTCAGCTCTCTCTAAGGAGTCACTTCAGGACTGGCCTTGTAGTGCAGCAGTTAAGGTCTCTGCAAAGGTTGCCGGATCACACGTGGCTACCCCAAATTCCAACAGGATGGAGAAACAGAAGAAAAAGGATCGTGATGTGCCAATGCCCCATTAGGGGAGTACTCCCTCTTTCTCTGCCAAGCACAGGTGCACTCTAGCGTTTAAAAAAACACAAAAACCTGGGCCAGTGGACGGTATAATGGTTAAGGCGGCTTGATCTCACATGGCCGGCTATGTGGTTCAAGTCCTGGACCTGGCAGCTTAAAAAGCACACTGGGCATGTGGGCATGTGGAGAAGGGATTGTAGCGTGGCCAAACCTCCAGGGTGGGGGGAGCTTTATCCTCTTCCCTCTCTGCTCTTTCTGGTATGACTATGTGCTGTCTAGCATAATTATAAAAACAAAACCCAAAAAAACCCAAAACCAAAAACACCCAGCCAAACAAACAACATGCATTTCAGGTACAGGTACTTAAATGTACCAGGAGTAAGGCTCAAGGAGGGAGATTTGTAGAGATTCAATCCCATACAGCAAGGATTTCTCAAAGTGAACCCGCTTAGCTTCCCTGCCAACTCAGAGCAAGGAAGCATAAGAATTTAGAATTAAGAGACCATAAAAACTACACAATCTCTTAGAACAAATCACTCTCCCACCCCTCCCATTTACAGATCAGAAAGGCAAGGCTAGGACCAGCAGTTAGCGTAATGGCTATGTCGCCGAACTCCCATGTAGCCGACCGTGGTTCGAGTCCTGGACCCGGTGGCTTAAACTCACGCCAGGCACGTGTGCATGTGTGCCCAAGATCCTGAGAGGAGAATGGAGGAGAAGGGATTGTGGCATGGCCATCCCCCTGGGGGGTGATTTCTCGCTTTCTATCTCTCTGTCTCTCTCTGTCTTTCTGGTAAGTGCATGCGCCCTATAGTAAAAACTTCTCAAAAAAAAAAAAAAAAAAGAACCAGCAGTTAGCGTAATGGCTATGTCGCTGGACTCCCATATAGTCGACCGCGGTTCGTGTCCCGGACCCGGTGGCTTAAAACTCACGCCGGGCGCGTGTGCGTGCGTGCCCAAGATCCCGAGAGGAGAATGGAGGAGAAGGGATTGCGACGTGACCATCTCCCCTGGGGGGTGATTTCTCGCTTTCTGTCTCTATGTCTCTCTCTGTCTGTCTGGCGAGCGTACGCGCCCTACAGTGAAATCTCTCCAAAAAAAAAAAAGGCAAGGCTTAGGATGGGACAAGGACTTGACAGATCAGTGGCAGAGCAGGCAGTAGAATCCAGGATTCCTCCCTCCCACTCTTGAGAACTGCTGACAAGAATAAAGCACATTTGTTTTGCTTCTTTCTTCATTATTTCAGGTTCCCTAAGAAACAATCTTCCATCAGCCCACAAAACTAATTTGACTGGAAAATAATTAGTGCTCTTGAGATAGGATATTTTCTTTGTTATTGGCAATTAGAGTTAATGACTTTGAAAACAAGGTAGTCCAGTGTGTTAGACGCTAATACAGAAACATTCCTAATAATGTTGCTTAGAATGACACAGGACATAAGCATACTTAGAGGCATGTCTGTAAAAAAAAGGTAATTAGACAAATTCACTTATGAAGCATGCACATCTCAAAAGAATCATATAATTACAATAGATCAAGTATGTACAAGAAATGTCTTAGGAAGATGTAGTTCCCAGTGGCACCATCTGGGAGTGAAATATGAGGTCAGAGGAGTGATGGTTTTACATGCATGTAGCCCAGGGGCCCCCCAGTTCTCACCAAGAGAGACTACCCTTTCCCCAGACAAACAGGGAGGGCAGCACCCGTCCTCCCTTACAAGGTGGGTGCACTTCTGCTTCAGTACTGGGAACGGGGCTGAGGCTACCCACATGCCCAGTGTGAAAGGGCTGGCGGGGAGTAGTGTGTTTTCATGGGGTTCAGGGGTCAGGCCCAGCCTGGGCTTATAGATACAGGTTGCCATGAGGACCCACCACAAAATAAAACCTCCAAGGTAAGTTCATTAGCAACCAAGTAGGAGGGTGTGATTGGGGGCTGGTGGGGGGTTTGGGCTCTTAGAGAGGTGAGCAAATGACAGCCCAGGCAGCAGGAAGGGTGGTAGTTACACTCGGCTGTCCTTCCTTAGCCCTCTGCTCTGGACCTCATGACTTTGTGTTGGGGACACTCTAAATGTATAGGAGCCCATAAGGAAGTGGCATGGGGTACCCAGCCATACATACCGGCGTGGTTAGCTCTGGTGTGGTTATTGGGGTACAGGAGTTGTTTAGTTTCACTCCACTGCCCAAGTCGAAGTCACAGATTTTCACTGGAGATACCTGAAAAGGAAAACAGAAGCCAAGCGTCACAGACGAAAGAAACTAAAGGGCACAAGGAGACGACTTTGTGTAGGTGCAGTTATATGGCTGTCACGCTGCAGACCAGCTTTCTTGGGGTTATATTTACTTTCTTTGGATCAACTAGAAGTCACCTGGGGATTGTTAACCATGGTATCCTCTTCCCTATTCTCCCTTATTTCCCAGCTGAGAGAAAAATAGGTGAATTCTATGGTGTTGGACTGTTGTAAATTTAGTATAAAATAAGTATGAGGGCTGGATCCATGACCAAGTAGTGAAGGGAGCTAGATTCCACATGGCCAACTGCAGTTTGAATCCCAGCCCCAGTGGTTTGAAAAACATGCTGGGTACACATGTGCTCAAAATCCAGAAGGATGGAGGACCAGCAGTTAGTGTAATGGCTATGTCGCTGGACTCCCATGTAGTTGACTGTGGTTCGTGTCCCGGACCTGGTGGCTTAAAACTCACGCTGGGCGCATGTGCGTGCATGTCCAAGATCCCGAGAGGAGAATGGAGGAGAAGGGATTGCAGTGTGGCCATCCCCCCTGGGGGTGATTTCTCGCTTTCTGTCTCTCTGTCTCTGTCTGTCTGGCGACCACACGCGCCCTATAGCAAAAAAGCAAACAAACAAACAAACAAACAAAACACACAAAAAACAAACCTCTCCAAAAAAATCCAGAAGGATGGAGAAATGGAGGAGAAGGGATTGGGGTCTGACCATGCCCCGTATGTGTGGGGATGCTTCCTCCCCCAACCTTGCCTGTGTCTTTGGGAAGCACATGCAATCTTTGGCAATTAAAAAAATTATCTACATAAAAATAAATATAGAACTCTTGTGGCAAACAATTAGATAGGTTGCAACACAGAGGCTAGAGAAGGTAATACATATTCCCGATAGGAAGACTCTTTGCAGCCTATTCAGGAGGGTAAGAAGGCTTGCAGTAAAACCCTTGACCACTTCAGGTGGCTTAAGGTGACTGTCATGTCCTGGTTTGCCTGTTTGGGACTTTGTTGGTTTAAGCACTGAAAGTCCCACGGTCGAGGAAACCCCTCAGTTCTGGGAAAACCAGGATGGCTGGTCACTCCAGGTGGCATCAACTCAATAGCCAAACCCACTAGAATTGGACATTGTGACTCATCTCTGGAGGGTAGTTTGTGTGCACACGTGAGAATGGCCACCCTGGCAGAAGCAGCACAGTGACGGAATTGAAAATGCTGGTTCTGTGGGGCCAGACTCACTTACTTACCCACTGCCAAGGAAACCTAGGCAGGTCTTTCAACTTTTTCTTCTTTTCTCCTCCCTTCCCTTTTTCTTTTCTGTTTCTTTTTCTTTTTGGGAGAGGTTTTCCTATAGGGTGCATGCGCTCACCAGAAAGACAGAGTCAGAGTGACAGAAAGCAAGAAATCACCCCCAGGGGTTGCAATCCCTTCTCCTCCATTCTCTTCTCGGGATCTTGGGCATACACGCACATGCGCCCGGCATGAGTTTAAGCCACCAGGTCCAGGATTTGAACTGTGGTCGACTACATGGGAGTTCAGCGACATAGCCGTTATTCCAACTGCTGGTCTCCTCCCTGAGTTTTACTTCTAGCTCTTCATTAACCATTTGATTTTGAGATATTCTTTTTAATAATCCAAGCTAACTTTCTCTTCTATAACCAACAACTCTCAACCTAAATGTACTTTCACAGATATTCCAAGTCAAGAAAGCAGTTTAATTTCCTGTTTTGTAATCTACATATTTTTGTGCTTATGTTGGGTCTTTTCCATGACAATTCCAGGAGAGACAGAGTCAGAGTGACAGAAAGCAAGAAATCACCCCCAGGGGTTGCAATCCCTTCTCCTCCATTCTCTTCTCGGGATCTTGGGCATACACGCACATGCGCCCGGCATGAGTTTAAGCCACCAGGTCCAGGATTTGAACTGTGGTCGACTACATGGGAGTTCAGCGACATAGCCGTTATTCCAACTGCTGGTCCCTTCCCCTCCCTTTTTCTTCTGTTGCTTCTTCTTTTTTCACTTGGCCCATTTCCTTTTCATTGTGGTAAAATATAAATCATACAATATTGCCATTTTTGTTATTTTAAGTGTACGGCTCAGTGGTACTAACTACATTCACACTGTCATGCAATCACTACCACTATTTCTAAAATGTTTCCATTACTCCTAACAGAAACTCGTAGTCACTCAGCAATCACCCTCCCCAAGTAACCTCTAGCTTACTTTTATTAATTAATCTTTATTAATTCGCCTATTCCAAATACCTCAGATACGTGGAATCATACAATATTTGTACTTTTATGTCTGACTTATTTCACTGAGTCTAATGTCTTCAAGATTCACATGTTTCATGGCATGTATCAAAACTTCATTCTAATTCAGTGGTAAATAATATTTCATTCTATATGTACTACATTTTATATACCCATTTATCTGTTGATGGCCACTTGGGTTGTTTTTACAGTTTGGTCATGACACGACAATGAACACTGATATATATGCATCTGTGTATTTTTTTTTTTTTGAGAGTTTTTTTTTTTTTTTTTTGCTATAGGGCGCGTGTGCTCGCCAGACAAAGAGAGACAGAGAGATAGAAAGTGAGAAATCACCCCCCAGGGGGGATGGCCACACCACAATTCCTTCTCCTCCATTCTCCTCTCGGGATCTTGGGCATGCATACACATGCGCCCCGCATGAGTTGTAAGCTACTGGGTCAAGGACGTGAACAGTGGTCGACTACGTGGGAGTCCAGCGACATAGCCATTACGCTAACTGCTGGTCCCCACATTAAGTTTTTTGAGGAACTGCCAAACTGTCTTCCACAATAGCTGCCCCATTTTTCACTCTTACCAACAATGCACAAATGTTCTATTTTTCCACATATTCACAACACTTGTTATTTTCTATTTTTTAAATTGTAGTCATCATTATAGGTATAAAGTGGTATCTTTTTTTTTTTTTTTTGAGAGAGATTTTTGCTATAAGGCACAGGCGCTCACTGGAGGGACAGAGAGACAGAAAATGAGAAATCACTTCTTGGGAGGATGGCCACACCACAATCCCTTCTCCTCTATTCTTTTCTTAGGATTTTGGGCACGCACGTACACACACGTGGCATGAGGTTTTTTTTTTAAGCCACCAGGTTTGGGACTCAAACTATTGTTTATTATGTGGGAGTCCAGTGATGTAACCATTATGCCATCTGCTGGTTCCTCCCAGGGAGTTAAAAAAAATTTTTTTTTTTTAGTTTATTATTTATTTCTTTAGAGACAGGGACACAGGCAGAACCCCAAACAGGTTCCCCACACTGTGATCCCAGTCCCAGCCAGCCTGGATACAAAGATATGAGATATGGGACCTGAACCCAGGGTCCAGTCTACCACTGCACCAGCTCCTGGTCCCTCACTCCCCTAATAACTAAGGGTATTGAGCATCTTTTCACGTGCTTGTTGGCCACTTGTTTATCTTCCAACTATTAAAAGGGACAACAGGGCTGGCCCATGGCCTGGTGGTTAAGGCAGCCGGATCCCACAGAGCTGACCATGTGGTTTGAGTCCTAAGTTCATTGTAAATCTGAGGCAATAATGGGTACTTCAGAGTACCACTGAAATCTAGGCTTTTTTATTTACCAGTAGAGTGACTTCTAAAAAGTTTCTTAATCTGAGCTTCAGTTTTCTCATTCATAAAATGAACATAATAATACTATTTACCTCATAATACTCTGTAACTACTAAACACGTGTAAGTAGTTGGCAATGTGTAAGAAATGTTAATTAAAATTATTATTATTGTGTGTGTGTGGTGCTTTGTTTTCTTAGATAGGGTCTTGCTATGTCTCAATGCTTCTGCTTCAACCTCCTAAGTACCTTGGACTACAGGCATATGCTATCACATGGCTTTTCAGTGTGGGCTGGGAATCAAATCCACTCCTCCCATGTGGCCTCAGCCTGCTGAAAAATTCCAGTGAGTCCTACTGCAGCTGGGCCTGTAATTATTATTAATAATTGTAATAACGATAAATGATACAGTTCTATGCCAGAACCTCTGACAGGAAGTCCTGAGATCTTATTTGAGCTAATGTATTATTCCTCCCCAAAGAAGAGTTGGAAGCAGCAGGCTGACTCACGTGCTCACCTACAGCCATTCCTTGTTTTTGAGCCATGGCTTCATCCAGACCAAGAGCACAAGCACATGAACACACACAGAAGGAACGGTAAATCTGGGTCACCAGTACCACCACGGCCCTAAGTCCCTCCTAACAAACAATAAATTTGTCAAATTCACATATTCTTATAGAAATGAAATCATTTCCATTTACTAGTAGACTGATTTAAAGCAATGTTTAAAATAGGTTGTATTTTAAACATTGAATGTCAAGTGTATATCTATATATCTCTCTCTATTTTTTAAATTTTGCTAGAGGGATTGTGTGCTCACCAGAGACAGAGAGAGAGGGAGAGGACAAAGCATCTCCTAGAGGGGATGATTATGCTGCAACCTCTTCTCCATCTCTCCCTCCCTTTGGGATTCTGGGCACACACACACATCCAATCTGTTTCTCAAGCTGCTGGGTCTGGGACTTATACTACACAATCAGTTACCACTAGGACACTGAGATGGCCTTATTTTATTTTATTTTATTTTATTTTATTTTGAAGAGCACCTTTGAAAATAAAAATGGAAACAGAAACTCTTTTCAAGAACTTGCTTCCTAATTACTACATCTAGTGATGGACACCATTTGCCATATAGAACATAACACAGATATCATTTATAGACAGATACGTTTCACATAAGATTGAGTTGTTGATGACTTAAATCAACTTCTCTAAAGGTAGGTGCACTGGAGTAGGAAATATTAATTTCATGCAGGTTTCATATTTTATAAGCTCTCAGGGCTTACACCAACACAATGATGATAAAGAGCAAAGAAGAGACAAGGATTAACCCTACTTGGAATGTAGAAACAGCCGTATCAGGTAACACATTCTCATATGTCCAAAATAATCAGTTCAAGTCGGACGTGAGGCCAAGAGGAGAGCTAATAATCTATATTTAACGCAAGGACCAGCTCGTGGTGCAGTGATAAAACGCGATGCTCTAGAGGCCGGTCTACAAGGGAAAGCTCGATTCATATCTGGAGCCCTCTCTGAGTATGCCAGGCATGCATGGGCCCAGGAGCCAGAGTTGGCTGAGGCCAGTGGAGAACTAAGGCATAGAGACCTTGTGGGAGGTCCCGTTTCTCTCTCTCTCTGTTTCACTTAGAGAAGAAATAAATAAATAAATTTATAAAGAAAAAAAGCCCAGTGGTGGCTTCTCCAATCTATATAAACTCTAAAGTCAATCAGGCCTTAGTACCTTTTCTGGAGATTCACACAATATATTTTCTGGCTTCAGATCACGGTGAGCAATGCCTGAAATGACAAAGAGCAAAGAAATGGTTAACATATGCACATAATTATCAGACATTCCACACACAATTAATTTTTTCCAAATGCTGTTGTTCGCAGATTAATTCCCAATTATGGTACATTAAAAAATCAACGAGCTGCAGGAGGCAGAAGTAACTGGAGACACAAACCAAAAACACAGTTGATTCTGCAAGTTCTTTTGAAACAGAGGCTTTAGAAGTCTGGCAGGGATAAGAAAGGCTAAATGAATCCAGCTAGCCTACCTTTCAGCACGGCAATGACAACCACCAATAAGAAAGCCTAATACAAAGCAGAGCGATGAGCTCTGCAAAAGGCAAAGGCTGCAGCAGCAATGCAGAAATAATTAGTGCCTGTTTAAGAATGTCTCAGGGGGCTTAGATCGCTCTACCTCATTTCTTCTTGTGTGTGTCCGATTTAAAAAAAAAAAAAAAAAGATTCCTTCCATGGGACTCCCTGAATATTCAGTGGATCAAGTGTTAGTTGCCAAATCTTCCAAAACTTGTCTGACTTCCTTACCTGCTCTGCTGTCCTAGGCAGCTGTCCTAGAAGCAGAGCAAGGACCACTTTGGCCTGAGGGTGCTGTTCTGAAGAGAAGACTCCCCTGGGGGCCATCAGGCGGCATGCTGGTTAAGGTGCTGGATCCCACATGGTAACTCTTCGGTTTGAGTTCTGGAATCGGGTTTTTTTTTTTTTTTTTTTTTTTTTTTTTTTAACGCCGCGTGTGCAGGTGTGTGCATTTGCACACAATCCCAAGAGGAGAATGGCGGAGGGATTGCTGCATGGCCATCCCCCCCTCCCCACCCCCAGGGCAGATGATTTCTCACTTTCTATGTTTCTTTTAGGCAAGCACATATGCTCCTTGGTAAAACTCTTAAAGAGAGAGAGAAGACTCCCTTTGCATTTTGGTCAGTCCTCCTGAAGGAGAATGTAAATAGTTGCCTACCCCATGAGGGGTTAAAAGCTGCTGACTGGCACTTGCCCAAGAAGGCACCTGGGGAAAACATCTTTTTCTTTCTTTTTAAAAAACATTTATTTATTTACTTCCATTCGTTATCATTATTTTTTAAATTTGACTAGAGAGAGACAGAGAAAATGGGAAAGTGAGAAAGCAAGCCACCAGGTCAGGGACTTGAACTGTGGTCAGCTATGTGGGAATCCAGTGCCTTTAACCCCCTTGCCACCTGCCAGCTCCAACTTGGAGAAACCATCTTCTTACTAGAAAGGGACAAAGAAGCAGTTCATAGGGTCACAGTGTTCTGGCAGAGGACGCAGACCCCCCTTTCCTTCCTTCCATAGCACAGAGACAGGAGGGCTGGAAGGTCAAGCAAGAGTCCAATACCTACTGCTTAGACGTGCTGGCAAGCAGAGGAGGATTCCTCAGATGATGGGGAGAAGCAGAAGCTGCTTTCCTAAAACTCTGGATGATCAGCTTCTTTGGCGGCCTTCCAATTCCCTACCAGAAGGTAAAGGTCTGGCCCAGCCCAGCCCACCTGAGGCACTTCACTAGAGAAGAAAAACCTGCGCTCCAGGAAGCTAAGTAACTTCATCAGTCACCTAATTGAATGAGAACCCAGAGCAACTCAGTCCAGGCTGCACAAATTGAGTCGGGCTCCAGCTTGCTGCACTAAAAGTGAAAGATATTTTCCATTACAGCAAGTGCTCCCACAGAAGGATCACGAGCCACACTTGGAGCCCGACTCTCCAATAGGTGCCTGTGGCCCTGGCGTCCCTCAGCCTGAGAACACTGAGAGCCGGGTTTTAATAATGGGCCAGCGTGGGTGAGCACGCCAGCCATCGAGCTGCTCGGGTTCATTTCCCAGAGGTTAAGCTGTAGTGTGTCCAGTATTTACAAGTATGAAACTTGTTTCAGGGCTGACCCATTTTTGCCCAATTCATCTTCCCAGCATGAAGTTATTTAGAAAACAGCCAAGTTCAGCTGGAAATCGTTTTTCATCCCCTCCAACTTCTAGTCACATGGGCAGCTGGCCAGCTAGATGTTAACAAGCACTTCAGAACTCCTCAGACACCACCGGCCTCTGTTCCCTCTGTTCTTGTAAATAAATAAATAAATCAATAATAAATAAATAAACTACCTTAGCCCCCCCACCCCCCAAGCTGTGGATCCTGTAAAAAGCATGACCCAGTTTTATAATCTACAGAGGCAGCTTGGGGAGCAGTTGTAAATCTTTGTCAGGCAGGTGTTACCTACATGCATCCCAGCTTTCAGAAACAGAACGGCTGCTATTCATCATGCTGTGCAAAGTACAGACACCCCCTTCTAGGAATGTTCATCCCAGGTGCAAGTCAAGGCCCCAGCATGGGCACTGTCAGTATGGAGATGTCTTTCAGCCACTGGAGGAAATGAGGTGGAGTCAATGAACCTGAACTCCCTGCATAAGAGCCACGCCAGTCTGCACTGTCTGTCTGGCACACAGAGCAATGAGCGTGTGAGCGGTGTGCCTGCAATTGGTCCTGAGCATGTACAACCAATGTGGTTGGCTGATACCCACAATATTCTTCTCAATGGCATAGCCCATAGACCTATGTCACAAATTATTATGTTGGACCTATGTCCAACATAACCCCTCACCATGCACAGACAGAGAGGAGTACTCTTCACAGGGTCGGGTCATGTTGTGATATCCCTCCTCCAGTCTTCCAGCCCACCAGCTCTGGGGCACTCTGCATGTGCCCTGTGTGTCTTAGGCCAACTGGGCCAGGGATTTGAACTGCAGTTGCCATGTGGGATACAATGTCTCTTGGGCAGCCACTATCACTGTACCAAGGAGCCAGTCTAGAAAGCTTTACTTAAAGAAATTAATATTAGGAATAAAAATGCTTTCTGCCTTGCTGGAGATACAGATGAAGGAAATAACGTTTATTGAAGAACGACTGTATGCCAGAAACTATGCTCCATCTATGTTCCACATATGTAAGATACACATATGTAACACATACATAAGATACACACAATTATGTAAATGAATTTATAGAAAAGGCTTGGAACCAGCAGATGGTGTAATGGTTATGTCACTAGACTCCCACATAGCTGACCGTGGTTTGAGTCCCAGACCAGCGGCTTAAAACTCACACTAGGTGAGTGTGTGTGCATACCCAAAATCCCAAGAGGAGAATGGAGGAGAAGGGACTCCCCCAGGAGGTGATTTCTCACTTTCTGTTTGTCTCTCCAGTAGCACACATGTCCTATGGCAAAAATCTCTCTGTTAAAAAAGACAAGATAAGAAAAGAAAAGGCTTAGAACATCACAAGTGCTATTTATTTTATTTTATTTTATTTTTGGTAGAGGTTTTTGCTATAGGGTGCGTGGGCTCACCAGAAAGAGAGAGACAGAAAGTGAGAAATCACCCCCCAGGGGGGATGGCCATGCCGCAATCCCTTCTCCTCCATTCTCCTCTCGGGATCTTGGGCACGCACGCACACGCGCCTGGTATGAATTTAAGCCACCGGGTCCAGAACTTGAACAGCGGTGGACTACATGGGAGTTCGGCGACATAGCCATTACGCTAACTGCTGGTCCCTACAAGTGCTATTTAAATGTTAACTATTGGGAATGCTGTTACTCCCACCACATGGTAGGCATTAATAAGCGTCACATTAAAAAGGTCTGTGAGAGTATATATCTATATACACAAGGAGACTTCAGAAAGCTCACGTAGCTGGAAGAAAGGTAAAGTCAGAATTCATTTTTCCCATGGTATCACTGGTAAGTGAATTTTTTTTTTTTTTTAAGATATGTTTGCAGTACAGTGTGTATACTCACTGGAGAGACAGAAAACGAGACAAAAAAGAAAGTGAGAAATCACCTCCCAGGAGAGATGGCCATGCCGCAATCTCTTCTCCTCTTGGGATTTTGGGCATACATACACATGTGCCTGGCACAAGTTTGAAGCTGCTGGGTCTAAGACTCGAATCGCAGCCCACCACAAGGGAATTCAGTGCCTTAACCACTCTGCCACCTGCTGGCCCTGATACATTTTTAAAATGTATGTAACAGTCAAACAGATTTATGGAAATGTGTAAACATCTTAGTTGCAAAACAATTTAATTCATTAAGGAAGTTCTTAAATAATCAGTCCTAGGAAAGGGACTATAAACTGAAGTATAATTCCAATAATAGTAACCTGCTGGTTAGAACTGTGATGTTCAACAGATACCTCGAACTTGCCATGTTAACAGAAAAAGGCATTTTTCATACTGTGAATAAGATATACAACACGGCACATATGCCATCATGCCAATTTTGAAAAGAGAGATACAGTGATGTATTTAGAAGACTAGAAGGAACAACACCCAAATATTTACAGTAGAACAGTCATATTATGCATGAATTTTACATTCTTCACTAGGAAAAGAAAAGGAGCATTATCTACATACATTGTCACATATGAAGTGTCTTCAGACAGTTCACAGAAAATGCAAATTATAAAAGAAACCCTGCATGGATCTGTTGATGAGGACGTGTATAGTATTCTCAGCTGGGCTGGACTGAGGTGTAGATCATGCTGGGTAAAGTCTCTTTACAATCTAAATGATGTATAGTGATTGAATATGTAATAATAATAATAAAAACAATAATAATAATAATATAAAAACAAAACAAACAAAATACCTGGATGGATTTTAGTTTTAGTTTTTGTTTTTGGTATAGGGCAAATGTACTCCCAGGAGAGATAGAGAGAGACACTAGGTGACAAAGTACTCTCCAGGGAGGTGACCACATGACAACCCCTTCTCTTCTTTCTCCACCCATGATTTTGGGCATATATGCACACAGCTTCATGTTTTCAAGCTGCTGGGTCCGGGACTTGAACCACAGTTGGCCATGTGAGAGTGACCATGCTGGTCCCCACACATATCTTTTTTTCTTTTGAGAGGTTTTGGCTATAGGGTGCGTGCGCTCGCCAGACAGACAGAGAGAGACAGAGAGACAGAAAGCGAGAAATCACCCCCCGGGGGGATGGCCACGCCGCAATCCTTTCTCCTCCATTCACCTCTCGGGATCTTGGGCATGCACACACACATGCCCAGCATGAGTTTAAGCCACCGGGTCCGGGACTCGAACCGTGGCCGACTATGTGGGAGTCCAGTGACATAGCCATTATGCTAACTGCTGGTTCCTTCCACACATACCTTTTAATGTGCAATTTATTCTTTTTACTCCCTTCTATTTATCCTGTATCTCCGTCCTGCTTACGAGCCCCACCATCTACTGCCATCCTCTGCAGAAGCTGAGGAGCCATGGTGGATGGCCACCCTCCATGCCCTGCCCCCCATGGGTGGCATAGTCATGCTGCCTGCCAGCTGGACAATCTCCTGGACAAGCCCTCTGCCTGGCTCCCCCTCCCTCCTGGTGCCCAGAGGCTGGGACCCCCACTACACCCACCATGACAAAGGCATGGTTCACCTTTGGTATGCAGGAAGTCCAGGGCTGCAGCGACATCCCGCACCACTCGGCTGGCTTCTCGCTCATTGAAGTGCTTCTGCTTCTGGATGTGGGCTAGGATGGAGCCTGGAGAGCAGAGTGAAACAGAATACCTTGTCAGGCTCGAGTAGAGAACAAGCTCCCAAAAGTCTGGGGTGGGGACATAGGCTTATTCATCGCCAAATGTCCAGCACCAAGTATAGCAGACATCTGGCACAGGAAGGTACCAGGACATGTCCGTAGAACAAAACTGTTCTCTGCTGTTCCTGTCTATGAGGAACTCAGAGGGGAAAAGAACTATCTCGTACGTGGCCAAAAGATATTAATGACACTGGGGGGCTGCCTTGGCTTTGCAACCAAAAGGAGCTAAAAATGAATGCACATGGGGATGAGGGAGACCCTCAAAGGAATGCTTCTCCTTTGCATCTGATCTCAGATACAAGCAAGAACCCAAGCCGTCAAATGGAAAGGTCGCGAGCTAAACAGGTATTTAAAGGCCCAGAAAAGGGAGGAAACCCTGCTTTTCTCCTGAACTGACCCATTTAATATTATATTGTAAGCAATGGTTCATATTTATTAAGTAGTTACCATGTGGCAAGCACTATGCAACACTGTTTATTTACCTGTCCTCACTATAATTGTACAAGAAGGGTAAAGTTATCTCCATATTATAGATGAAGAGCCTAGAGCAAAAAAGGTAGCTAGACAACTTGCCCAGATCATGCTCCCCCATAGGTGGTAGAGTGAGGACCTGGTACAGTCAGTTGGGCCTCAGAGCCTGTGCAGGCATGGCCCTCCACAGGACTCATGGTCTGACTGCTAGGACAAGCTGTCCTGAGCCAACCACACTTCTTTATCCTCCATGTCTTGGCTCACTAGAGTTACACCCTGAGCGTCAGGGCTCCAGGGGATCCCAGCTGCATTAACATTGCAGACATGCACATTACAGGCCTGCATTGCTGGGTGGGGGTCGGGGGGCAGACAGAGGGGTCCATACTGACTATCAGAAGCAAGGTTTTCTGTGTCCTTAAAAATGGCACATGTTGGGGCCAGCAGGTGGTGTGGTGGTTAAGGCACTGGACTCCCACATGGCTGACCACTGTTCCGGTCCCAGACCTGGTGGCTTGCTTTCTCACTTTCCCTCTCTCTCTCCCTTTGGTGAATGTACATGCCTACAGCAAATGAAAATAAATAAATAAATAAATAAATAAATAAATAAATAAAATTAAATGGATATAATTCTTTTAAAAATGGCATGTTTTTTGTCTCCATTTTTTTTTTTTTTGAGAGGTTTTCGCTATAGGGCACGTGCGCTTGCTAGACAGACAGAGAGAGACATAGAGACAGAAAGCGAGAAATCACCCCCCAGGGGGGATGGTCATGCCGCAATCGCTTCTCCTCCATTCTCCTCTCGGGATCTTGGGCATCTGCTCCTTTCGCCTCTCGGGATCTTGGGCACGCACGCACACGCACTCGGGACCCGAACCGTGGTCGACTACATGGGAGTCCAGCAACATAGCCATTACGCTAACTGCTGGTTCCCTTGTTTGTTTTGTTTTGTTTTGCATGGTGAAGGGAAGAGTGAAGAAGGGAGAGGAGTGTTAAAAACCTTTCACTTGCCAAGTTCATGAACAAAAGGCTGCCAACATGCTAGGGAACATCCCCAGAAAACCAGCTTGTGGCTAGACTCTAGGTTGGTCTGCTCTACTGAGCCTCTTGTTCCCAAATGTGCTAAAAGGGGAGGAAGAGAGTAACAGTCTTCACACTGGTAAGACAGCCCCTAACATACTCAATTGTGTGGGTTTTTCATAGAGAGAGATTTTTGTTCTAGGGTATGTACACTTGTAGGAGAGAGAGAGACAGACAGAAAGAGAGAAATCACCCCTTGAGGGGATGGTCACACTTCAATCCCTTCTCCTCCAATCTCCTCTTGAGATTTGGGGCATGCATGTACATGTGCCCAGCGTGAGTTTTAAGCCACAAGTCTGGGACTTGATCTGCAGTTGACTACGTGGGAGTCCAGGGATATAACCATTATGCCATTTGCTGGTCCCCCAATTATTTTAATGACATTAACAGCTCATAGTTATTGAACTCTTAGTGTGTACTGGGTATTGTGCTGAGCATTTCACATACATTAGTTCATTTCATCTTCATAGCACCCAGTGAGGTGGGGACTATCAATATCCCTATTTTAGAGATGAGAATACTGCTTGCAAAACTTTAAGTGACTTGTCCAAGGTCACATGGCTTGTAAGTAATGAAGCTAGTCTTAAGCTCAGTGTTATCAGTTTCTAACACATGCGCCTTTAACCATGAGCCCCTCTGTGTCGCCCTCCACTCAGCTCCCCATAACACTTGCCTTGCAAATGTGTCCTAGAAGACACAAATGTGTCCTTAACCATAAATGGTTAAGAGATAGGGAGGGAGAAGGCTCCTCTATACCCCTGACTGTGCCAGAAAAGCAACTTAAATATACATTCCCATAATTATACGTATGGGGGATGGTAGTAGTGGTGGGAGTCAAGAGTTATGTCTTTCCATCTGAAGGACAAAACATTCTCAGGCCTCCCCTTCATCCTGGGTCTGTGTCCCAAACAATGAGACCTTCTTCTCCCTCATTTTAGCCTTTTTACACTTCATACTGTTTGTGAGAGCTTCCACCCCATAGTGAATTTAGTTAAATAGCAAACATGTCAAAGCAGGGGACTGAAAAATTGATCACTGACTGTACCTATCCATGACTCCTGTTATAATGAAAAGGCATTTATAGAATGCCCACACAGGTGACATTCTAAGCTCTGCAAAATGCTAATTATCATCCTGCCCTCCGGCCTTCCTTCTCCCAAATCAAGGGCAGTTTTTAAGTCCTTCATCCTTTTTATTAGCTTGACTCGTTTTAGAAGTCTCTGGGATTCATGATGGATGATCACCACGCTGGGTCTTAATCAGAAGTCCAAACACATACTCAACAGTAAGTACCTCCTTGCAATTTCTCAAAGACCAGGTAAAACCTTGTGTCATCTTCAAAGAACTCGATCAGCTCCAAAATGTTCCTTAAACAGAAAGAAATAGGAGGAGAGGGAAAAGGAGGGAAATGGTATTATATATTAAAGTCCACTTACAAATATACAATGAAAAGAATATACAACGCCCTGTAGCGGGGCAGAAATCAACTTGAAATCAGAATGCTTATTAAAGACCCATGTTTGGAAGCAGCCAATGGTGTTAGCAAGATTCAGGTCACCTTATCTTTCCATAATGTTTAGTCTCTGGTGTTTTCACCAAGTCCGTGCTGTCAAACCCCAACCCTAAAACCCACTAGGTAGAGTTATAAAAAAAGTCCCGGTCACATTAAACTGAATAAAATCTGCAGCCGACTGGAAGCAATTGCGGCTAATAACACTGAATAGTAGGTGCGTGTCCTGGAGGCAAGCAGCAAATAATTACTTGCCCTCCCTCTTGCCCATAAATCATGGGGCAGTATTTACATTGCCTGGAGAAAATGGAAACATCTGTCAAATAGACTTGGGGCCTAACGTGGGCACCGCTAGACCCTAACTGCTAAGCGCTGCTTAATGAAACGGCCGTGTTCCCGGCCGCCGTAGCACTTGTGGCCTTCCCCGGTGAGCACTCTCTGTCTGCCCGAGGATTTCAGTGCTCTGCCAACAAGGTCGTCTTGTAACTCAGTGGGGAAGCACCGGCCTGGACATTGGACGTGTTGGGGGCTTTTTTTCTTTTAAAGAACGAAATAAACCAGGTAGAGGCTCTAATGCTGAACTAAGAAGCTGGAGGGCTGAAAATAAAAATCCATCCCTCATAAAAAAGTGCCGACCACTTGGGGAGACACCAGGCTTTTACTGGTGTGAAGGCGTCCAAATCAGATGGCCAAAATGGCCTAATTTAAAGGAAGACTGTAGAGGCAGCGCCTGGAGTTAAATCAACAGCAGCCCCCATCCTCCAAGCTTAATGACAAAGCCATCAATACCAGGCCACTGGCTCCCTGCTGACCCTGCCATGGAGGGAGAGAGAGGGGGAAGCAGAGTCTTAGAGGTGACCCTGATTTAAAGCCACAGTGGGAGAGTCACTCATTTGGAGCCGGTGGTGAGCAGACTAAGATGGGGCTAGAGATTACCTCGGCCCAGTTCTCAAGCAAGGAGCTTTGGGCAAGCTTTCCGGCCAGAGAACAGCAGCAACCGTTAGCTACTGTTCTTTCCAGCTCTTCATTATCTCGGTATCAAGGCAGGTCCCTAAAGAGTTCTTGCAGGCAACAGTCAGCCTAGTTTCCATAGGTACTTCCAATAACCCCTCCTTCTTCCCCCCAAACACCTACAGATTCAGATTGCTCACTCCCTAACTTGCCTGAATTGCTTATATTTACAGTATTATAGTCTGAAGAGAAGAGAGATCAGCTTCTTTGCTGCTATTAGTGCTTCACCCCCATCTCTGTCTCTCTCTTTTCTCTCTCTGCAACACTGAAAGATGGAAGGTGTTCCCCCATGTTGTGGGGGAAGGAGGGAGAGTGCTAAATGCTGGCGTCCAGAGATGGTGAGAAACAACCTCCTTTCCTGAGACCAAGCATCCCCCAGAGAAGCGGGGAGTAACCCTAGTGATACTCACTTGTTTCCTTGACACTGATAGAGCGTCTCCACCTCTCGAAACACCCTACTCCGACTGTGCCCTGCTTGCTTTTCAATGATCTGTGGGGAGAATATAATCTGTCACATATGCCCACCTGACTTCCAAACAGTCCCTTGGCAGGCCCTCTGGGACTGTAGGGCCAAATTCAGTCCAAATCCAGCTTGGAGCAGAAGTTGGGAGTAGGCCTTGGTGACACAGGCACAGTGGCTGTCAGTAGAGCAATAGCCCAGCCCGAGGGCTTTCCAGTCCAGCTGAGCCTGCTCTGCTCACAATAGCCAAGGGCTTAGCATCTCACCAAAGAGGCTGTGAAGATGCTGCCCCCAGCTGCCCAGGGAGACTGAGGCAGCCAGCAAGACAAAGAGCTCACCTCAGCAACTACTCCCCAAGGGCCTTACGGGTAAGAATTCACAACCTCTACTGAAGGATCTTTAGTGCAGGAGGAAGGTCAAGTGGGGGAAGAGGACACAGTGGAGAAAGCTGGAGCTTCAAGACCCTTCCAGGTGCCACCTCTGCAATCCCTGCAGGCGGAAGTAAGTTCCTCCTCTTCTGGGAACTAATTCTTTGGTGTTGAACAATTTATATATATATAATCTCAGCTAACCCTCACAGCAATGTCAACAGATAGGAAGGTGGGAAACACTCTGTCCACCAGCCCAGAGCTGAATCCAAAGCCCTTGAACACCTGCTAATACCCAGTAGGGCTTCTTCAAGCACTCAGAGACTGTCCAAGGTGGCACCCCTGCCTAGACCCAGAGATACTTGGCAAATGCTGAATGAAGGAAGGGATGAGCCAATCGATGAGCAGGGGGCTTACACAGGAACTGGCTGACTCTGATTTTTTGGAGAGGTTTTTTATTGGGTTGCCTCTTTTTTTTTGGGGAGTTTTTTTTTTTTTTTTGGTATAGGGCACATGTGCTTACCACAGAGACAGAAAGAGACAGAGACAGAAAGCGAGAAATCACTCCCCAGGGGGGTGGCCACGCCGCAATTCCTTCTCCTTCATTCTCCTCTCGGGATCTTGGGCACGCATACACACGCGCCCAGCCTGAGTTTAAGCCACTGGGTCTGGGACTTGAACCACGGTCAGCTACATGGGAGTCCAGCGACATAGCTGTTACGCTAACTGCTGGTCCCAGAACTGGCTGACTCTGAAAAGCTCTCTGGACCCAACCAGGGGCCCAATCCATTGCAAAAAGAGCACGTGGGCAAGTCTCCTGCAGAGCCTGGCTCGGCCTTTCAGCTCCCACGTGCAGCATGGCTAGCGCAGCTGAAGACACCCGTCTACTCCAAAGGCTGCTGTCGGGACACTCCAAACGTCTCAAAATGCCATAGCACAAACATCCACAGCCAACTGTGATTTATTCTCTAAATAAGCTCACACCTGTAAGCAAATGACGACTTCAATCACCAAGTGTTTCAGATCAAAGTCAGGTAGAACTTTCTAGCAAGCAAACTTCGCCACAACAGCACTGTTTCTCTGAGGAGATAATGGGCTCCGGCTACCACAGATGGGGGAGCAGTACACAGACAACCATTTGAGGAGTCATAGAAGAAAAATCAGGATAAGATTATCTTGAAATTCATCTTGACCCTTGAGACTCTAGAATTCATAGCCAGAGGCCTATAGGGAAAGCTGGAATAAGTCGAGCATTGTGGTGCATGCTGGGAGAAAAGCCCATCCCTAGGGAGCTCTCAAAGACTAGGGGGCCCACCAGACTGGGCAGAGCTACTGAAACCAAAAAATTGCTAAGCCGGGGTCCAAAGTATATGCCCAAAGATGCCAGGAAGGCTTGGAGAAAGGGCCAGGTATACTTCCGGTGGTCCAACCTTGAGGAAATACATCTGTCATCATAAATGTAGTCAAACCTTTGACAATTTATATTTGCAGTTTTTACCATACTTAGGTATATTTTAAAAAAGAAAAAACTATAACATAGACTGATCTGTTTCCAAAAAAGAATAAAGATAGCTCTTTTGTTACCAAGTCAAGCAACAAGAACAGGGAACATGGTTTAGCAGAAATATCCTCCTTTATAGTCGGTCCATAGCTGGAACTCAGGGAGGTTGGTTATAAGAAAAGTCAACAGTGAAGCTAGAAGCCACTTCTCCTGCCCCAAATTGGGTGTTCAGTCACTTTAGTCTTTAATCCACATGATCCTAATGTACATTGTAGGGCATTTTGTAATTTTTAAAATATTTTAGTCTTTAGGGCGCATGTGCTCGCCAGCCAGACAGAGAGAGACATAGAGACAGAAAGCGAGAAATCACCCCCCAGAGGGGATGGTCACGCCACAATCCCTTCTCCATTCTCCTCTCGGGATCTTGGGCATGCACACACACGCGCCCGGCTTGAGTTTTAAGCCACCAGGTCCCGGACGCGAACCGCAGTGGACTACGTGAGAGTCCAGCGACATAGCCATTACGCTAACTGCTGGTTCCCTGTAGAGCATTTTGTAATTTCTAAAATAATTTAGTAATTTCTAAAGTAATTTGTCATTTCTACATTTACCAGTTCCTTTTTGTTTTCACTGTCATATCCACCTCATGAGACAAAGAAGGGTAGCTATCATGATCTTCATATTAGAGACACAGGGACTGAATTACAGAGGCTGAACGAATGCCCAAAGTCAAACTGTAATCGTTTTTCAAAACAGAGATTCAGGTAGGCCTTTCTCATCCCAAATCTGGTTGCCCACTCCCTGAAGCTAACTTTGTCATAGCAGTAAGCAGCAGCTTACTATGAGTCAGGCATTGTTTTCAGCACTTCTTACAGATTAATTTCTTTAGTCCTTACAATTCTATGCAGGTTTAATTATTACACCCATTTTACAGACGAGGAAATACAAGGACAGACAGGTTAAGTAACTCATCCAAGGTTAATAGTAAGTAAGTGCAGAAATCAAGATTTGAATCAAATGAATACTGCTTTGGAGCCCCCATTCTTATTTGAGCCACCACAGTGAAGAATATAAATTTTATCTGGCTGAGGACGAGCTGGGACCGAGTACCTGCAAAGCCAAGCCTGGCATCCCAATGAGACACTCACTTTGACAGCATACTCTTTGCCATTCTGCAGGCTCACGGCACCTTGAACTTTGGCATAGGCTCCCTCTCCAAGCAATTCGGAGGTCAACTTGTACATATCTAGAGGTGAAATGGACAAAAGGAACAAGATGGGTCACTTTGTGCAAGCTAAGATAAGAAGAAGAGCTTCTGTCATTCAGTTCCCCGATCTGACACAGAGGCAGAAAAGACTCACAATGACTGTCACACTTGGTGATGAGGAAGACATGTAAGACTCAGTTTGTCAACAGGACCACATGGAAGGCATCCTGTTACTCACTTTAGAGATGAGGTCAGTGAAAGGGTTTCGATTCAGCATGTATTTCTGGAGCAACTACTCTATGCTAGATAGCATAACAGGGAGAAAGAGGAATAAAATATCATCTGTCCCCTCTGAGGGTTGCAATCCAGTAGGGAAGACAGACACATAACCAAGTGACCCCAAATAAACCAGACACTGGTAAGTATTGTCACAGAGGAATAAAGTATAGTAAAAGAAGGAAAGAAAGGTAACATCTGTTCAGGGACTCGGGGGATCTTCATAGAAGGGATACGACCTGAATGTATCTACTCATTTGCTGATCACCTACTATGGGCTAAACCCTGTGCTAAGCATTGGTGATTTAGGGGGTATAAAGCACTATTCTATTTGATACCACACACAATGAAAGTCATTGGAGTGTTCTGAGAAGTTTCCAGAAGTTGTCTACAGGAAATGAGACAGAAGTTGGTTGCAAATGATGCCTTGAGGTTTTTAGGGTACTGAGTCAGAGCAGTTCTAACAGAGTAACACAGCTGAACTGAACAAATGGCTAGGTGAGCTGCCCAAGTTCACAAACAGCAAACTCTTTGAGCCCGTTCAAAGGAAGCTACATCTCCATCATGGCCCGTGAGCTCACGATATACTCCCTTGGCCTCCATTCTTCAGCTTTTTTCCTTTTCAGCCATCCTAGCATTTAAACCTACAGGCTGATAAGAAAACTTTTAAACCATAAAGTTAGATTTTATCACTCTTAGTCATAAGAAGTCCTGTAATTGCTCAAGCTCTCCTTAAATAACAGGAAATACTGTCTTGTGTTCACTGAAAGAGAAAAGACCTGTTGATTTGGAAACTCTAAAACTCTTGGGACTTTCGACTTCCCCTATCCCTAATCTCTCTCTCTCTCTCTCTCTCACACACACACACACACACACACACACACACACACACACACACACAAAGCTACTGTCTGAGTTAAAGGCAAACAAAAAAGTCTTCACAAAGTACCTTCTTGGCTTCATCAGTTAGGCCTTGTAGCTATTTTTTCTAAGTCTGAAATATTCTTTTTTTAAAAAAACCTTTATTTTAATTTGAACAGAGAGGGACAGAGAGAGAGAGAGAGAGAGAGAGAGAGAGAGAGAGAGAAAGCTGTCAGGTTCAGGACTTCAAACACAGGCCGA